GCCGTGCTATTCAGCGCTGGATGAGGACTAGGGAGCTCGTGTATCAAGAAAACTTGCGGGAGTAATAATGACTAATTGAGAATTAAAATGATTTGTGGCATTGGTTGCCTTTTTAAATTACCAAATATATGGTGTTAGTTTTATGTTTAATAAAGCGTCGCAGTGAGATTGCATCATTTCACGTAAATATTGTAACTGTCTCATGCGGGCGCAGAGGCGGTTGCGAGAAGGATGTGGTGTGAGTAATCCCTGGGAATTCCCGCGCCTGGTATGCAATGGTACAATAATGAAATAATACATTAACAATAATCATTTATGCAATAACCTGATTAAGAGTGCATTATATTGTACATAGAAATAATGAATTGTATTTGTAATTATATTTAGCTTGCTTGCTCTAACAAGACATTCCTGAACGAAACTGATATCATTTTACCATTAAAAAATATTGAAATTATTTTTGGCGCCCAACTCAAATTTTCGAAAATAAATAATTAAAACAATCGTCTTGTCCTGTTTTGTGACATGTTTTGATGTGAAAAAATGTTATTATTATAATTGAACGCATTCATTTATTCACGCATTGTCACAGGAATGTGCGTTTGATGGTCCAATGTCGCCAAAGTAGAATACTCTCCGCAACACAAATTTCTTGAATCAGAGGCAAACTTAACTATGTCTAGATAGGTTTAGATTAGAAGGTAAAAATTAAGACTCAGCTAAAGGCTGACAGACTAATTGGTGCCTAGATGGTATTGTCCGGCTTCTCATCGCAGCTCAGAGAGCTCGCAGTAAATAATTCGTCGCGTCCAGGTTGCTCTCAATAAAGATATTTATTTATTTATTTATTTATTTATTTATTTATTTATTTATTTATTTATTTATTTATCTATTCATGTAGAGCGGCTCATGGTGAAATTCAGTGAGAACATCCTATGTACTTGATGTAATTGCATTTCCGGAACGTTATTAATATAAATAAAAACATTAAAATACATTTCGTTTTATTCTGATGATTCCACTGTGTTATTGCAATTTACAGAAGCAACCACCCGCCAAATGTTTCTGTTTCTGAGGGGTAACTAGGTATACGTCTCTTTAGTCCCGGCCTCTGCTTCATCACCTAGCAACCTGGACATGACGAATTGTTTACCAACTTGCCGCACGTCGCGACCATGTCTGCGAGCTCTCTGGTCAGCGATGAGAAGCCGGACGGCGGAAGCAAAGTCGAAGAATCCCAGCGCGACACATTTCTCGCGGAGCGCCGAGTGGCGGCTTCGAGATTGCTCAGGGAATTCCCTGATTACGTCCCGGTGCGTGAGTTGCACTAGGTTAGTGATTTCAAGGTTGTTTCCTCAGTCAGGTGTGTTGTCATGGTTAGCCAACAGAATCTTCTCTATAGGAATATTGCGTAACGCTTTCACCGCTAACTAAAGGCGAAAATTGCCTAGCCTGAAGTATCCTCCGATGAGCTGACCATTGATGTCAATGATAACAATTTTTAAAAAGAAATGTTGTTGTAGAGGATTAGTGAATATTGGTTGGTTACTGCACGCTTGAACAATTGCCCATTAAGGGGCAAGTTCCAGTCTGTTTGTTCCGGCGCGCGATCTACGAATCGGGCGGCGAGTACCTAATACAGGACGGTGACTTAGAGTCACTTGCTCTCGAAATTACAAAAACGGACACCCCACTAAGGTCAGAGTGAACTTCGTGTTCTTGCTTCCCTTTGCATTCGGGCCCGCCTCTGTTCTGTAAGTTTTGTTCATTTGATAAAGTGTGTCCTATGCAGTAAATAAAAAAACAGAAGAGGAACACTGGTAAACCAGTTTTCATTGTGACGTTCCGGTTTGTTCCCCTAATAGGTATCTTGGGTGAACGAGCTCAAAAACCTTAATCCATACTGTTATCGTTTATTTAGCATCCACATTCTATATGCATAGCGGCCACGAACTTTTTCCTACTTTTCATTATTTGTTACAAAATAATTCACTTGCCAGCACTTTCGGGAAAGTATTTTAAATACGTAAGAAGTATTGCCCTTTTATTCTTTGTGTCCGATCACTAATATTGTCAAATCGTAAGCATCCCAAAAGAAACAGGAGTGTGTGGTAGAATATTGTAAGATGTATTACTTTAATACCAGTTCCGTTAGTTATCTGGATGTCAATGGTGTTATCTTTGGTCGACATCAAAAAAATGCTAGCAAGATAAAAGTAATTCCTAGCAAATCTCTCAGTTCTACTTCATCGGCTAACATTAATTTATTTCTTTCTCGGATTTTCTCTATATGAGAGCATTCGCAGAAACTAAGATGATTCGCAAAAATTTCTCGAATGCAAGAAATTGCCGTAAAGGTTTTCAGTGTAGTCTAGGAAGCGGCGGGTAAAAATAATTATTTACCTAACTTATTACAGAAAATACGTTCGACATACAAATGAAATGTACGACGAGGTGACGACTGGAGCCGAGATCAACATTTTAAAATGAGTACAGCTAAAGACACCTTTGTACGATTTCCATACATTATTTTTACTTGCTTGTTTCCCTATACTACGTACGGAATAAAATAGTAGTACAACGAAAGTTATGTATTGATGAGGAAACGAGTAAAATGCACTTATAAACGTGGCTGAGGTCCGAATTTCAGGGTTAACTCTGAATTTTCGGAAATTTCAAAAGTTTGAATTGTTTTCGGCGGTTTCCTACAACTACAAAATTAAAAAAACAAACTTTTCCTTGAAATAAAATTTGTTGTCCATATTGTTTTCTTTCATTAAGGTTATGTACACTTTTTTGAACATTTTAGTAGTTTTCGCGCAATATTGTGTGTGATATGTGCAATTTAAAAAAATAACAAAACATGATTTTCTCAAAAAGTCTCCAATTTTTTCTTGAAATATTTGGTATGGATAATGCTAAATGTACTCTGTGAAATGACATACAAATAGGTTTTTTCTATTCTTTTGTTTTTTCAAAAATTACAAAAATGTAATTTTTTACTTGTCCCTCACGTCTTTAATATTTACATTGCCCGCTATTTGTTTATATTAATGTATTTATGTGGAAATGTGCTTTAACTAATGTAAAATAAAGTTTTCCAAAAACTCAACAGTTTTCTCTAAAAATGAGCTCAAAATTTCGCATTTTCAGAAATGCTCAAATGTCATTTTCTTGCAAACTGCTCCAAATTTTTCTTCAAACTATTTCAACAGATGATTGAGCTGGTTACGACGACAGAATTAATTTTGCTATGTCATTTGTTTTTTCAAAAATTGTACAAATAAATATATATTTTAAATATCTCTCACAACTTTAATACGCACATTTCCAGCGATTCGTGAACACTATTGCATTTGTGACTAAAAGTGCTTGAAATGACTTCATGTGATCTTTTTTTGAAAACATTAGTTTTCTGTGAAAAGAACTTCAAAATTCGAACTTACAGTAGAGTTTAAAAGCCATTTTCATAAAAATGGCTCCAACTTTTTCAAAGAAAATTGCCATTTAGGTGTAAGTTTTACTGTTCTTTAATATTCTTTTAAAAAATTCCGTTCTATTGCAAAACCGAAAAATAAGAAAATGTCAAAAAAAGTACTTTAGACGGCGATAGATGGTACCTGGTAAGAGTGTGTGGCAAATATGAATAGCTAGTCGAGACCAAAAGAAATAGAAAACTAATACGGGAAAGTCTGTAGCACTCTGTAGCACATTTGGTTTTCTAACGGTAGAAACACAATATTACTTTAAGAATATTATAGAAGGGTAAAACCACACCCTAAATGAAACATTTTCGTTGAAAACTTTGGTGCAGTTATTAAGAAAATGTCTTTTAAGAGTTACTGTAAATGCGTAATATCCTTTTTATACTTTTGAGTTTTCGAAACACTTAATTGCAAATCATTTGCAGCAAGTCTATTTACAAATGTAATAATGTATACTAATCACTGGAAATGTGCATACTAACCGTTTGAGATTAATTTAAAAAAAAATTGAAAAAACGAAAGATTACAGCAAATTAACTTTCATGTCGTCTTAAATAGTGCAATTAGTATTATCCGTTCCAAAAACAATTGGAGCAGTTTTTGAGAAAATAGCGTTTGAACTTTTGTAAAAATGAGGAATTTTGTGTTTTCGAGAAACTGTATATGACATCATTCAAAACATATGTACAATAATGTAAACAAATCGCCGCGAATGTAAATATGAACGGGAGGGACAAGATAAAAAATTGTACCTTTTGAAAAAAACTAAAGAAGAGAGCAATATGGAGTTTCTCATCTTATATAGTACATTTAGCACAATCCCTACCAAAATTTTAAAGAAAAAATTTGGATACGTTTTCGAGAAATCCTTGTTTTTATTTTTTTTAATTATTGCACATATTGTACGCAATTTTGCGCGAAAACTACTAACATTTTCAAAAAAGTGTTCTGGCCTTAATGAAAAAACTAAAGAAAAAATGTACTTGAAGGAAAAGTCTCTACGTTCAATTTGGAAATTGTAGAACGACGCCGAAAATTTTTACGTTTCCAATTTTTGAAAATCCCGAGTTAACTGTGAAAATTGGACACGTACTACCTTCGTAAGTAAATTTTAATCTATTCTTACAAGAAATCTAAAGAAAAAAAAATTGAGAAACGTTTGTAAATGTCCAAGGGACTTCAAAGAAAGTACCCCCATAACTTAAAGGATGTTTTTCAAAATCGTGAGTTTCGAGTGAAGCTAGTTTTGTAAGGGAATATTTACTAAGGGGAAAAAATCAGAGGAATAGTTTAGGTGCTGGTGGTGTTCACAGTCGAACAGAAAGAAACCACTTTCTCGGTATCGAGAACCGAATTACAGTAATCTTGGAATCTGACTACATAATGTGTTAGAGGGAGTGATTTACTACATGTTAGATCAAGATTTATCCACCATAGGGCCCCAACCATCGTTTTTTTGCAGCAGCATCACATAACTTTCTCTATACTCCGTATTTACGTACGTATACGAGAAAGTAAAATTCACATAGAAACATGAATTTCGGTATTTACATATATTATTAGACCTAAAACAACAAAAAATGTAATTTAGGTACTACAGCAAATCCTTTTACAAGAATTAAGTCAGCACATTCCAAATATGTTACTTTCTCCGTGTAAATTAAAATAAATTTAAAGGAAAATTATAAAAATTATTATTGTAAAAAAATAACAAGAAATTGTAAATAGCAATTGTTCCCGGATAATTTAATCTTAATCTTAATCTTAATTTAATATCTTCTTAATTGTAACTGAAAGTTGATTGTATACAAGTTATGTTATGTAAAGTATTTTTATGATTTTCAAAACTATAAAAAGCGAGTTATGCAAAATTTACTATAGCAAAACACTCTGCCCCGAGGGTTTAGAACAACTTCCATACAGAACGAAACCGTACGTTCAAAAAGTATTTTTTCTCTTCACTCATGGTATTGGTCACTTTGTTGCCTTAAAACGATCCTTGCCGTAGCCGTGGAAAACAACTGCCTATAACGTGCGGTGTGGCGTGCGCAGACAATGCTGTGGCTGGGCGGCCGCATGCGCGCGGAGGGGCGGCTGCTGGTGGCGCGCGCACTGTGCGTGGGACACGTGACGCTGCTGCTGCGCCCGCTACTGCGCTTGGGGCCCCTCGCCGCCGCCCCTCTCTTCCTCTGGGCGCGCGGCCGGCCGCTGCCCCCACTCGCCTCCTTCCGATTTCTCTACGAGGTACCTACCCAACTTACTGCCTAGAATATAATCAATCAAGGAAATAATAATTCTGGAGAATAATGATGGGGAAATCAATAGTAGGAAATAAAAAGGTATACAGGATCTCTCAGAATAAAATTTCTAGAGCTTGTTGCGGAGTTGAAGGTGATAACTTTTTTCTCAAAGAACAAGTGGTCAGAAATTAGATAAATAAAAATGGATGTTGAAATGTACCAGATCGATGGACTGCGACACCATTTGACCGATATGAATCCATGAAAGTTGGCACATCTACATGTTTTGATTTTTTTTTCACGGAGAAGGTTAGAGAGAGAGAGAGAGAGAGATTGAGAGTAGAGAGAGAGAAGCGAAAGACAGACAGAAACAGATGGACAGACAGACAGCGCGAAAGAGAGACAGAGTAGTCAGAAACAGAGGAAGCAGAAGAGAGAGAGAGAGAAGCAGAGAGACACAGAGAGACAGGGAGAGGGAGAGTTAGACGGAGGGAGAGAGAACACAATAACTGTATTCCGCTAGTATCGAACAAATGAAGTAGAACAATATGGGTACTTACGCGATTTATCCCTCACTCACAGAAGAGCGGTCATGCGAGCTGTTCTTTGATTTTTGTTATAAACAGCGAGTACGTTCATATTCATTACTATTGGAGCCTGTGGTTTCGCAGACTTCCCAATTACCAAGAAGAGTAATATGTTTGTTGCCGCTGCGTTGCTACAGAAAAGAGCAGTAATGTGTTCTTTATTCATTTTAAAACCTTGTGCATGACTCCTCTTTCGAAGCAAGACTTTTTTTGCAGGCAGTGTTTTGAAAGTCCAATTCTGTCGAAGGTATACACTAGCTGCGACGAGTAATTTTCTGACGCTATCAAGACTGCAAACTCGTCTTAGAGCATGGAGCTGCAGAATCAATTGATAATCCCCCATCCGCAATATTAATTGTATCCTGTGACTCTTCTTCCAACGATCTAACCAACCATTGCAGTAAATTTTGGATCACCATTTATAAGTTTGCTCAGTTGCAGTGTCTTTTCTTGCATCAATGTACCGCAAATAGGTACGCATTTTTATCTTTTTTAAGAAAACCACTAGATAGTCGCTTCGTTAAATGTATTATACGACGACATGGTGGAGTTGTGGCACTGTTCCAAATTTATTTCACTAGTCGTGTTGCAGGAGCATTGAATTTTCCTCCGAATTTTCTTCCTAGCCCCTTAAGCACTTCCAGTTTTGGTTTTAATCGAGCGACGCGTTATGTTCTGGGAGCCATACCAACTATACACTAGTGGTGCCTCAACATCACGTACGTTTTCGCGAAATAGTTAATGATTATGTAATATTGTAACATGAAAATTTCTGTCTGACACTTCAATTCTTAAGGAAGCGAAGTGCGAAAAATACTTTTTTTAAATTCAAACTTTTAAAACGAAAACAGCTTTCTGCTATTGATTCAGTGTATTCACGACGCGCGTATTTTAGTCGTAAATAAAATTATTCGTTTATATTAATGCGAAACGACTGCCTTTATAAGCTTTCTGATGCCAGTGAAATTTAAAATAGAGTTAATGATTACTAACATTAAAAGTAATCTTTCTTTTCAATATTCGAATGACAGCTATTAATCCAGAAAGACAAAATTTAAATCTACTATTTACGTCTACCATGTTCTTGTTTGTCGATACCATCTTCTTTCACAAGAAACAATCTCCTAAAAAACCGTCTGACAATGAGAGATTATTCTGTGAACATACACACCGTACATCCACGTTCCTATTGTTAGATTAGATTTATTTAGGCAAAAGCAGTAAAAACTGTATGTGACGTATGGGGGAGATCATCTGTGCACGTTTTCTTGAGTTACGAAAAGTCCTTTCCCATCATTTTAACTATAAATAGTTAAAAGATGAGTAAAAGTTTAAAACAAATATATAAAAATAAATTGGAAAAAAGCGTTAATTACCAATATTTGAATAAAATAGTAATTTTCGTTTCCGAATTATAGAAAACTTATTTGCATCGGTAAACGAATTGCAAGTATGATTGTTATGCATTGCTAACAACTTTCTTCTTGCCTTTACATCAACTCCTACCATTACAAACAAAAGAAATAGTTCAACAAAACGTGCGCATAGTGAAGCTACATTTACGCCCAGAGGCAAAACAAGAGGCCATCTCAGCATTTGCTCAATGGGTCAGGGAAACTAGACAGACACCTGATGAAGATGGGGGTGATTGATCCGGAAGCTGAAGTACATTACTTGTTATAAGCATATTAATTTTTTTAAATATACAATGCAAATGTGAACTAATCCATCATGTTTCACAATTTTGCTAAAATACACATTATTTTTTATAATAAGTATAGTCTCTAATTGTTTAGAAACAGTTATGCAACAGAAAATATATTACTTTTAACTTAAATGTGTGTTCAATCTCAGTTGTTTAATATCATCTGGCAATGCGTTCTTAAGTAACATACATGTATTGTATGTGAATTTCTGATACTGAGCTGTTGATACTGTTGACATTGGCACTTGATGAACGTGATTTCAACATGTGTTGTAATTATAAATATCAGTACTGCATGATAATATGTTCCCATCGCTAAGTAAGTCACTTTTGACAAATATTACAAATTCGTAAATGTATAGGCAACTTCATAAATTGTTAGATTGCAACTTCACAGCCAAGTGACTAGATAGCTGTAGTACATTAAAAAATAGTTTGTACAAAATTATTTTCAATCGTAAATTATAATTCAAACAATAATCATAATTAAATTAAGTAAATTTTATTTAAAATTAAAATAAAAGTAGGCAACACCGCGCATGTATCCATCAAAATAAATCTTATACATCTTAGAAATTAGAATGATCTCTAGATCCGGAATGAAAGGTTCAAATTAATAAAGTTTCCCAATTAATCACCTGAGTATTACTTTGCTCTTTGAGCACATGGTTGCGAGAAATCATGTTTTTCATGCAATATTTGCAACACTTTCGTAATTTGCATTTAAATTGCAATATAAATATAAGTGACTTCTTGGCTGTACGCAGTGTTGCCATATCGGCGGAATTCCCGCCGTTTTCAGCGGATTTTTAACTCGTACGGCGGAAAAAAAATTAGTTTCGCGGACAGTGGAATAAAGGGCGGAAATTAATACAGTGGAAAATAAGCCGAATTTCGGATGTTCACTATTAAGGCCTGGACACATAGCGTGTTCGAGCAGAAATATTTTAAAATAATAATAAAAGGCAGACAATTTAATCTACATAAGTGCGTCATTTATTATACTTATTTGAAAATATTGGGGCTCGAATACGCCAATAACGACGGCTATGACCAAGAATCAGCAATTGTCCTTATCTATGTCATGCATTCATAAGCATTTGTCCTTTTCTATCATTATTTTCTATCGTTTGTTTTAATAGAATAAATTAATACAATATTTAAGTATGGAAAAATTATTTATAATACGTTTAGCGGATTTAGGCGGGAAATTTAAAACCAGTTCAGCGGATTATCGGCGGAAACTGAAACGAACATGGCGGAATCCCTCTAAACACATCTGGTAACACTGGCCGTCCGGGTGACGCCGCGTCGTTGAGAGGCCGACGTTTCGACATGACATGTCTCTCAGGAAACAGGCGGCGCCACCCGGACAGTCAAGAGGTCAGGAACTAGAGCCGCGGAAGCTTACGTGTACACGAGTAATATAATACGTGTATAAATGTTCGCTCCTAAGGCTCTACGATTTGAAATATTATGTTAATTAATATTATTTTTTGAAATAGATCCTTTTCATCATTTCAATGAACAATCAATTATCATTTTCTCCAAATAAATGCCCACCACTGCCCTATCACGCAAGCGCGTTTTTCGTGGCTTCGGATCATTTCGACCTGTACGTTGTAGAACAAAGGTTAATGATTATGTAATATTATATTTTGACAATTTTTGCCTTACACTTCAGCAACTATTTGAAAAATTATTTAACAAACGAAGTGCGAATAATACTTGATTTTTTTAAATTCAAACGTTTAAAGAAAAACAGCTTTCTGCCATTGGATTCAGTGTATTCACGTTCTACTGAAACCTATACTATGTCCATAGTGTCTGTGAAGGAATTGTGCGTGTACCCTTCCAGACGGTACTCAAGTGACACGATAGTGATGTGCGACGAATAGTACCCCGATTGCATAGCGAACAAATAGTACCCCGATTGCATGCAGCTTCTCACAAGAGTGAGTGGCAAGTCGAGCGTACAGACTACAAAGTCCATGCAAATAGTGAGAATGATACACAATGCACAAAATGTACTTATCATTTTTGAGTTAAGAGGAGAAATAGGAATAATTATACTTTTCAGATAAGTTAGATATGTATGTATACGACAAAGTAACTAGTGGTACTACAGAAAACTTCCTCATATCAGTTAGCTTTCTAATTTCTTTGGTCTGAGCTAGCTGTTTGGTTTTGCCTCACCCTCTTCCCAGTTGCCACCTATTGCCGTCCAAACTTCATTTTCTCAATTTTTCAGTTCCCTAATGGTAGAACATGACTTTATGAATATTATAGAAGTGTGAGAAAATATTTAAGCGTTACTGTAAATGTGAAATTTGAAGCATTTTTTCACAGAAACCTGTTGAGTTTTGAAGAAACTTCATTTGAAATCATTTGAAGCACTTCCATTAACAAATGAAATAACGTATAAAAATAGCTGGGTATGTACATTTTAACGGTATGAGAGAAATTTAAAAACAAATACAATTATTTTTGGTAAAGCGTAATTTTTGAAAAACAAAAGTATTCTAAAAAATGACATCTACGTCATCATATATAGTGCATTTATCCCTATCCGTACAAGTTTGACGAAAAAATTGAAGCTCTTGCATGAGAGAACGGCGTGTGAGCGTTTATGAAAAAATAGAATTTCGAGATCATTTTCATAGAAAAGTTTGGATTTTTTGAGAAACTTTATAAGACATCATTTGAATCACA